GCAAGCAAAGCACAATTTCGGTTCCGTCTTTGGACCGGGAGGAAGGGTTTGGAGTTCAGAGCGGGGGGCGATTTGAATTCTTTAACGGGAGGCAGCTGGCCATGGCTTCTCTTTAAAAGCCTAGAAAACCAGAGGGCTCTTTCGAAGGAGCGGGCAGTAGGAATATTTCGTTCACACGCTGGTTTCTCTCCCGGGGCTCAGCGCGTCCTTCGCGGAGCGATTGTCCGACTTTGGAAACAACCCGCTCGCAGCCTCCACTGACGGCTCAGCCTGTGGGATTGGGGTCGAACCTCGTTTGGGAAGGTTACAAAGGATCCGCTGGCAAGTTTCCCTCCGCCCTCGTGGGGCTCAAATGCGCTTTACTGGGCTCAACTCGCTTGCAGCTCGCTTCGCTTTTCACGTGCCTCTCTCCCCAACGAGGGCTGGTCCTACGGGACCTGGGAGCGGCTCATACAAGAGCGGCCCCGGATCAATATCTCCGGGCCCATCTAGATCAGCGGGGCTCTTATTTGAAACCTGCCCTCTCCTCTCCCGCAGCTTTTCGGCGCCTTCTCGCTAGCCGGGTTGACAGCAGCGCAAGTAATTCGCGGATGAGCTAACAGCCCACTCCGGGCTGGAGGTTTTGTGTCGCCTTTGACATGGACTCTGGGATTTTCACTTGCACGGCCAGTGCTTCCCCGACCGGCCTGAAAGGCCACCCGCCCTTGCGCGGCCTCTGGGCTTTTCAGTCTTGGTCTGGTGTTTGCAAACTAAGATGAGAAAATAGTCTCGAAGCTGCGTTTTTATGAGAGCCCTTTCCACCTCCTGAGCCTCCTCGGAGAAGGACCCCAGCGGACACCTGTATGCCGGACTCTGTGCGTCTCCTGGACTCGGAGGAGGGGAGGCGCAAGAAAAGCAAAGCAAAGAACAACTTGAAACTGGAGCAGCACCTCGCAACTGTCCTCGGAAACTCGCCCTATCTGGAGAGTTCTCCCTGCCCATGGGACTCGCGGCTCCTGCCTGCCCGGGGAGGTGCCTCTGTTTTTCCCACCTTACTTTTCTCCTGCGCCCAGGGAGACAATCGCCCGCCGGGGCCCGGCCTGAGTTTCTGGCTGATCAGTCCTTCCCCCCGACGACCGGGCTCATTCAAGTGCAAGTGGCTGAAGTCGAGGGAATTGTCTGGGGCCGGTTCTGCAAATCCCACCGCGACTGGCCCAGAGTGTCAGCCGGGACGCGCAGGGAGGGCAGATGGAAAGCGAGCCTATGCCGCTGGGAGGACTGATCCTTCCTCCCGAGATTCAGTCATGTCCTGCCTCCCCTCCGCTATTCGTCACGTTTCACTGCCTGCCCGTTTGGAGACGGTCGTTCTCACCCCGGTTACCTGCTTCACGTTCGAGTCCCCCTCCTCCCCAAAGCGCCCCAGTGCAATCCGAAACAAGAACCTCACCCCGTGTGGCACATGCCCGGATAATTTCATGAACAAGAGAAACGATTTCCTAGTGGGGAAAGGGGGAATCAACCAGGTTCTTCAATCGCATTCACTCTCCTCTGCCAAGGACCATTTGCTCCCTCTGCAAGAATGCGGGACCCAGCCGGACCCCTTTCTCCCTCTGCAAACACCTTTCTAGTCTAAACCCCGACTGAGTCCGAAATCAACAGAAACGCACCCAGAAAAATGTTGGCTCCGGTCTGGGATTTGGCCTCACTAGGACAGATTGGCAACAAAAAGAAAAGCCAGTGCATTCGGCTCTTCCGGAGGGAGTCGCGTTTTAAAAGCGGAGCGAGGAGTCTGCTGTCTAAAATCAAAGCTGGGTAGTTTGCAGTCACAGTTGTTAATGCCTTTTATTTTGCATTCGTTAGAAGAAGGCTCGTTCCAAAATACAGCGCGGTAATTAATTGTCGCTGCTCTTTGTTTTTTTTTATTCAAATAGCTTCCCAGGAATTCCTCCCGCTTTCATCTGGTTTGATGAAGGTGCATGGGGGAAGGAGGGTATGTGGCGTGTGACCCAGATGCTAGGATCCCGAAATCAAATTGCGCGGCGCAGCGCCATCAACGCGCAATGAACTGTTGAAAATACGAAGCCAGCCCCTGAAGTCCCCAGTGTCACTGCTGGAAAGCGTTTTGCTGCCTATTACTGTGCAATGACTTTGGGGTAGATTGTTTGGGGGAGGGGCAGGAATGAAAACGCGGCACTTTATTTTTAAAAGTTGCTTTAGCCTGGGTTTAACCATAAAGCCCCCCTCGGAGCCGGTAGGGTCCATGGGATGAATGCGGCAGTTTCCAAAATGGGAGCACATACCACCCTCTCCGCAGATATTTTAGTCTGTGGGAGAAATAACCGGTGAGCTCACGGCTTGGCTCTAATTACAGCTGGGTTCCGCACAGCACCGGCCGGGCTCCAGAGACCGCCAAGTTCCCGGAACAGTTTGCAAACTACGCGCCCAGTCCTGCATGGAGCAAGTCTGCCCCGGGCCCGGCCCGAGCCTGCATTCCCCGGCCACGCACACTGGAGAGGAGGGGAGGTTGATGAACAGTGCGGGACGGGCTAACACCCCTCGCATAGGTGGGGCTCCTCCGAGGCCTGCTGTCATAGGACAGGGGTTATTGTGGAGTTGTGAAATTGACACCCCACGGCCTGCTGGCTCAGCAGCCTCGCCAGCCTCCGGGACGCACTCTTGGGAGAAACAGGCTTGGCTCTGAGTTTCCGGCTTTCCCCCAGAGCAAGGTGGAAATAACCTGGAGGTTTCCCTCCCTCCCTTCCCCCTCGGACCTCCAGGCTCCATGCTGGTCTCCCTTCAGCTCCCAGCCCAGTGGGTACTGCCCTGAGCCCACGTGAGCGGCTGGGAGCTGGCCAAACGCTGCCCAGAACGCATAAGCCCGACTCTGAGCGCTGCCCGCATGGCACAGCTCGGCTTGGCCTAGGAGCGTCCGAACAAGCAAGTGTCACTGGGCCGCGGCCTCTCCTAGATTCCTGGTTGGAAAAGTTGTACTCCGGAGCGCCTTACTCCGGAGTCTGGCTGCTCACCCTGGCTACGCCACTGGCCTGTGACTTGGCCTTGGACAAGGGGCACATCCCACGCTCATAGGGACCTAGAGCGAGATTTTTCCATCACCCCTTGTAAGGCAGGACGAACAAGCAAGTGTCACTGGGCCGCGGCCTCTCCTAGATTCCTGGTTGGAAAAGTTGTACTCCGGAGCGCCTTACTCCGGAGTCTGGCTGCTCACCCTGGCTACGCCACTGGCCTGTGACTTGGCCTTGGACAAGGGGCACATCCCACGCTCATAGGGACCTAGAGCGAGATTTTTCCATCACCCCTTGTAAGGCAGGAAACGCCGGGCCGACTCTAATCCAAGCCCCCCGTGCAGACGCGAGCCGTTGTGAATCAAACCGAATGTTTCGTTTGTTCGAGTTTTTCCCCTGCGGTTTTGCTGCTCTCGCTGCACGTTTTTTACCCGGCCCAGGTACGCAGCCCAGCGGGGCATCTGCCGGGACACGCGGGCCGGGCTCCTGGGGAGGTAGCTGAAGGGCTCTGAGAAACCAGCTGGTCCCTTTTCTTTCTTATGCCTCTGTCCCCTTCCCTCTCCCCCCCGGCGATTCCAACCCTGCACGACTCGTTTGGTTTTTTTAAACTGTCCTTCCTTGGTTGCTCCATTTTACTGCCCCGCAGCAGACGGGGCCGAGTGAGGCTCTGACAGACTCAAAGGCCGATTGAATTTGGGAAGCGATGGCCGAAGTTTGTAAGGATTCCACGGCGGCGCAGCTCTCCCGGCTGGAACACCTCCCCTCCCCCCCACTCCCCAGGGCAGAGTCTATTTTTAAAAATATTTTCCTAAGCATCACTCCCGAAGTCAGAGTCTATTTTTAAAAATATTTTCCTAATTCTATTTACTCTCCTGGGGAGAGAGAGGGAGGGAAACTCTGCCCCCTCCCAGCTCCGGGTTCGCTCAGCAAAGGGGAGCCCACCAAGCGCTGGGCGAGCCCTGGATCCGGAGCTGCAGGCGCGGAGGACAAGGACTAATCCGGAGTAGATCGGCCCCACGAACGCTGCCGCTTTCTAGGGGAGCGGGACCCTGCTGCACTGGCCCCTGGTGGTCCTGGCTGCTGAAGGCGCCGATCCAAAGCCAACCGGAATCCCTGGAAGTTTTTCCACGGGCTTTGGATCAGGCCCCAACCTGGCCAGCTCGCCGGGGGCCCGTTCAGAGGGGGGCTGCGGAGCACCCCAGAACAGGCGCACCCGCGCTGTCTGATTCTGGTTTAGGAAAGATACCTGGGCCGAAGGAGGCTGATTAAAAGAGCCCTCGGTTGTCAGCCCCAGCCGGGCCCCATGGCCCGGATCTGGAGAGAGGCCGAAACGCCTTACGCCAGCTCCTTGCTTCGGGAGAGACGCACCCGGCTTAACACAACACAGACACCCTCCCCTGCTCGCTTCTTCCTACTCCTGGAAGATCCGGACCCGGGGCCTTCCCCCCAGGCTCCAGCGTATGGAGCCAGCAAGGCAGGGCCACGCGGGTTTGGCGGAGTGTGCAAGGGGGGGGGGCAGATTCCAGTTCACCAGCCCCCCCGCCCCAGGTTTCTCCTGCCCCTGTGAGCGCTGACATTGTTAGTGCTTTATGAGGCAGTAAATATCCAGAGGCAGAGAGGATGCATTTGAACGCCGGGCAGGCCCCGAAGTAATTACTTTTAATAGGAAAAACCGAGGGTCTCTGCGAGACACCGGAGATTGGATCAGGCCCCGAGTCCGGAAATTGGAGCAAGCAGCCCGGATTGGCAGCTCGTCCCTGAGCGGCGCGAGCTGTGTTTTAGGGGAGTCGTTAGAAAAAAAAAGATACAGGGAGGGACCGGACCCCATAACGCGGAGAGGGACCCGGAGCGCGCCTCTGGAGCAAACCCGGCTGCTTCAAACCCTAGGCAGCGTCAGAGATGGCGGGCTCCCCCCTCCCCCGGGGTCCAATTGCCCCGCTGCGGGGCTCCTCATCAACCGTTCGTTGCAGCCCCTGTTGGCAGGGGAGGTCCGCTTACCTTTCTTGATCACCGACTGATCCAGTAAATTCAGCCCCGCCTCATCCACCGCCTGAAAACACGCAAGGCAAAAATATCAGGGTGCTGCTTTTTCTAGGGTAGACCCCAAGGTGCGGGCCCCATCCCCCCCCCCCCCACACCACCC